TTTTTTTGGTTTTTCGAGACAGGGTTTCTCTGTAGCTTTGGAGCCTGTCCTGGAACTAGCTCTTGTAGACCAGGCTGGCCTTGAACTCACAAAGATCGGAACTTCCCGTGTAGCCCAGGGCGGCCAGGAATTTTTTTTTAATCCTTCTTCCTCTACCTCCTGAGTAGCTGGGATTACAGATGTGTACCACCACCACCACTACACACACACACACACACACACACACACAAAATTAAGTATATTTTAAAAACATTTCTACTCTCATCTAACATTAGTACTTAAATCACTCATTTTGTTCAAAGGTCTGACCTTCCCTCTGGCCAGCAAAGAGAGAAGAGACCTGTGAGTCAGTTTCTTCAGTGCCTTCATTTTATGCAGGCCTTCCATTCTTTCTCTTTTGTTCTCAAGATCAGTGTGGGCGGAGAGGAGGAGGAGAGAGGGTACCATTTCTTATTTGATTAGAGTGTGTGATTGAATAGAAGCGCCACCCCACAAAGATAGCTGTGTCTGCTTCATGACCCTGGAAACCATGCATGGGACCTTAATTGGGAAAATGTCCTTGTACTTAAGCTACCATAGATTGATGGCAGCCAAATAAGCCAAGAAATGATAAAGGACCCATAGATCTGGCCTCAGTCATAATCATAAGATGAAAATTCAAGAGCACATTTTTTTCACAATTTTGTTGCTAGACATTATTCAAAGTACCCAAAATTGTCAAGAAAACTAATCAAAACTCCGTTTCATCAGAAAGATGTAGGAAAAAGTACAAGAAGAAATGAGGCAAGGAGATGCTATTTCACTTAAATACCTCCTCTTGTCTGGTCCGTTGACTGTCCCGTTGCTATTTAGAAATCTGAGCTGACGCCCAGCATCTGGGATTTGATTCAGTCCGTGTGGCTGGTTTCCAGGACTACAGATGGCAGCCAGCAATCCCGATCCCGACGTGTGGCCTGCTTCACTGAACGGCTCACTTACTTTGGTCGCTGGGCTCTCCCTTTAAAGGGAGGTTGTTTTGTAACAGTTCCTTCAAACAGCGAGTCAAAGTGTTGACCCACAGGGCAAGGGGCTGTGCTTCCTTATCTATCTGACTATCTTTCTTTTTTTCTAAACCTTTTGTAACCTCATGGTACTTTCTCCCAGACTGATAACTGTATGTTTCACCCATAGCCCTCACCGCACGCCTGGAGCCAGGCAGTCCCTTCATCAGGAAGAAAAAAAAAAAAAAAGATAAAGAATGGCTGTGTTCACTGCAGTCTTTTGTGGAGACACGTTTGGCCAGAAGTGTACTGTTCTGATTCATGGTGTGTGAGAGAAGCCTTCTCGGCTCGCCCTCATTTTCTCTGCAGTAAACTAACGCACAGTAACGGCACCGTTTGGCTTCTGGGAAAGCACTTATGGTTGCTGCTTTTCATTTGAAAGTAGATTCAAAGGCCACCTGGTTTCTTGTTGCTGAAGAGAACGGAAGGTGGCATCTCCTTTGTCGTGAGGCAATCACTCAGCCTGGTCTTCTGGCTAGAATGGACAAGATCTCAATTCCAGCTTTTGCATGATGGGATCTAGGTGGTGGACTTTGATGGGACAGAGCCAGCTTGCCCACTTTGTAAATGGCTTCTCGGGTGCTTGTTTACCCTAGGCAGGGGTAGCTCCCTGACCGCAGCACCTTCTGTGACTTTTTCTTTTTGAAACAGGATCTCAAGTAGCCCAGGCTGGCCTTGAACTCAGTACGTAGCCGAGGATAACCTTGAATTTCTTATTCTCTTTTTTTCCACCACCCAAGTGCTGTGATTACAGGCATGCACCGCCATGTCCAGTTGATTTGCCACTGGAGCTAGAACAAAGTTTCTTGTACGCTAGGTAAGGATTCTATGACTGAGCGCCAGCCACTCCCAGCCCCCTTTGAGGATTTGGACTTTTGAGCAGAGTACCGTGGAGGTTACATTACCGTGGGGCAAAGATGACATCCTTAGCAGGCCATTCCCACAACGGCTCATTGCACTGCTTCTCCCACTGCAGTTAACTTCCAAGGCTCTGTCTAAACCCACACACGCGCACACACGCGTGCGCGCACGCACGCACGCACACGCATGCACGCACTACTGTCCTTGCTGCAAGTTCCTTGGGGTCTGTTTCTGTTGCTTGCTACCAGTCCACACTGACGCAGCCTTTTTGCGTGCCTCTGGGATTCCAGGACAAGAAGATATTGACGTTTACCACGGAGCAGAAATTTCCCTTTGGATTAAGGCATTGGATGCTACTTGTATGAAATATTACTCAAGAGGAGTTACACTTGAAGCTCTTCTCTTCTTGTCAGAGACCAGTCAAACGCGACATGGAACAAGTAAGTCATTAGTAAGGCTGAACTGAGAGAGAATGAGAGATCTGTAAGACTGGGTTAGAAGGGGGTTGGGACCCAGAGAGAAGCAAAAGTTCACGAAAGGGAATGGGAGGCATATGGAGAGACAAAGAGTTGCATGCAGATGCCTATCTGATGGCGTCTGCCGGGTGGTCGGCATGCTAGGACAGAGACTGCCACCAGGGGGTGCGGCAGTGAAATCTTCTAAGAGAAGGTTACAAAAGCTGCAGGATGCAGAGTCCTGCTCTCAGCAGGAGAACAGTGAACAGTGTGACTATAACTGAGACTAATCTTGTGAGAGAAAACACTTTTTTCTCTTCCTTTTATCTTCCCCCTCCCCCTCTTACTTTACCTCTTGTTTTTTTTTTTTTTTTTTTTTTTTTTTTTTTTTTTTTTTTTTTTTTTTTTGGTAGTCCTGACTGCCTTGGAATTCACTAGGTAGACCAGGCTGGCCGTAAATTTACTTGTCTTTAATCCCTGCTTCTGCTGGGATTAAAGGCATAGACTGGTTCCCCTTTAGCTTTCTGAGTCAGTGTTTTGTAGCTCAGGCTGGCCTTGAATTTGCTAGGTGGCGAGACTAACTTTGAACTTCTGATCCTCCTGCCTCAGTCCCTTGTGTGTTTACAGGAAATTTGAGAAGGGAAAACAGAATACAAAAGGGGCTCCAAACACTTCTCACAGCAAGACCAATAGATAGGGAGCAGATGAGAGCTCTAGATTCCTATCAGTGGGATTATTCCCCTGGGCCTCAGTTCCTCTTGGTACTCCACTGGCATTCCCGACTAGTAGCCAGATGATGTCCAGGGCCCACTAGTGGGGGACCTGGGGACACATTCCCAATGTAAATCGTTGGTTACTGGATTATATATGAATCTGCGTGTAACTGGAGTCGCAACCTGCCTGGCGTTGAAATGTGGATTCACTCCAGGTATTTCAATCATGGAACAAAATTGCACATACATGACATTTTGACAGGGGTTGGGTTGGGAGCAGAAAACTTTCGTTTCTAAAAGCAATTTCTACTGATGTATTATATTACATACATAGAAAAGTCAATGCATGAGCCATTAAGTGAACTGTTCAATACTTTTCACATACTGAACATGCCCACTCAGAAGCAGAAATCACGTATACATGCACAAATATAGAAACATACATACATACACACATCCCACACACCCCTCAAACACTAGAGTTACTTGTTTTCTTCAAGTTTCCCTGGTGGTCCCTTCCAGCACCTTCCCACAATGGTAAACCCCAATTCATCTTCCATTAATTAATTTTGCCTGGCTTTGACCCTTCTACAACTTATAAAGCATAGAACACACTTTCTGACTGCACTTGATGTGTGCTGCCTTTTGAAATTTATTTTTATTTTATCATTACTGTTTTTGAGGCAGGGTCTCATTATAGAGCCCTGGCTAGCCTGGAACACGTCACGTATTCTACCCAGCTGGCCTTGTACTCGGAGATCCTCCTGCCTCTGCCACCCGAGTGTTGGGATATAAAGTGTGACATGACATCCAGTTGGGTGCTCCGTTTGAAAGGTCGACCTGGGTTGCTGTGAGCAGCATTGGGCTCGCTGTTCGTTCTCATGGCTTCATAGCATTTCATGGGACGACGACATGAGAATGGTCTGCTCATGATGGGCATGCTGGCTGCGTAAGCTGTCCACTGGGGCTATGACCAATTGATGCTGCTGCTATGCGTTCCTACTGTGATAGAATTCAGATTTGTTAACACTGTTTATGGGGGGAGCATAAACGGTGCATAAATACATGTTCACAGCGCCAAATCGGTATGGCCTTTGTTCCAGAAAAAGGCTAATTCAAATGAGGTTTGAGCCACACGGTCAGTGAAATCAGTATGCAGGCTCTCCAAAAAAAGTTGCGGAGAGGGAAGAAGTAACTATTTCTTGCTTGGTCATATTTAATCCAGGACCCTTCATGCTGAGGGACATGAACCCAGAGTAGGAGATTCTATGACAAATGGAGAAGACATTAGCCTAGAGATGGAAAAGAAATCCTTATATGATGTTCCCAAATTGGCTAAAGGTATATACATGAGAGAATATTTTTCTTTGACTTTTCCCTTGTAATTTTGCTATCTTTTTGTCATGCCCTTACTGTTTTTTTTTTTATTTTTTGTTCTTTTTTTATTGATATTTATTGAGTTCTACATTTTTCTCTGCTCCCCTCCCTGCCTCTCCCCTCCCTCCTTCAACCCTCCACCAAGGCCCCATGCTCCCAATTTACTCAGGAGATCTTTTTTTTTTTTTTACTTTCTACTTCCCATGTAGATTAGATCTATGTAAATCTCTCTTACTGTCCTCACTATTGTCTAAATTCTCTGGGATTATGGTTTGTAGGCTGGCTTTCTTTGCTTTATGTTTAAAAACCATCTATGAGTAAGAACATGTGATAATTGTCTTTTTGTATCTGGGTTACCACACTCAAAATAGTGTTTTTTGCTCTGTCCATTTTCCTGCAAAATTCAAGCTGTCATTATTTTTTTCTGCTGTGTAGTACTCCATTGTGTAAATGTACCACATTTTTCTTATCCATTCTTTGATAGAGGAGCATTTAGGTTGTTTCCAGGTTCTGGCTATGACAAACAAATCTGCTATGAGCATAGTTGAGCACATGTCCTTGTGGCACGATTGAGCATCCTTTGGATATATACCCAAAAGTGGTATTACTGGGTCTTGAGGAAGACGATTTCCTAATTTTTTGAGAAATTGCCACACTGACATCCAAAGGGGTTGTACCAGCTTGCATTCCCACCAGCAATGCAGAAGTGTTCCCTTTTCCCCAAAAACAAAACAAAAAAAAGTTGTCATCAGTGTTTTTGATCTTGGCCATTCTTACAGGTGTAAGATGGAATCTCAGAGTTGTTTTGAATTGCATTTCTCTGATGACTAAGGATGTTGAACATTTCCTTAAGTGTCTTTCAGCCATTTTAGATTCCTCTGTTGAGAGTTCTCTGTTTAAGTATGTACTCCATTTTTTTATTGGATTATGTGATCTTTTGGTGTCCAATTTCTTGAGTTCTTTGTATATTTTAGAGATCAGACCTCTGTCTGGTGTGGGGTTAGTGAAGATCTTTTCCCGTTCTGTAGGCTGTCATTTTGTCTTGTTGACCATATTGTTTGCTTTACGGAAGCTTTTCAGTTTCAGGAGGTCCCATTTATTAATTGTTTCTCTCAGTGTCTGTGCTGCTGGGATTATATTTAGGAAGTGGCTTCCTGTGCCAATGCGTTCAATTTTATTTCGCACTTTCTCTTCTATAAGGTTCAGTGTGGCTGGCTTTATGTTGAGGTCTTTGATCCATTTGGATTTGAGTTTTGTGCATGGTGATAGATATGGGTCTATTTTCATTCTTCTACATGTTGATATCCAGTTATGCCAGCAGTCAAGTGTAATTCTGTTAGGTCTAACTTTATATGTTACTTGGCCTTTTTCCTTTGCAGCTCTGAATATTCTTTCTTTACTCTGTATATTTAGTGTTTTGATTATGATGTGGCAAGAGGACTTCTTTTTGGATCCAATCTATTTGGTGTTCTGTAAGATTCTTGTATCTTCACAGGCATATCTTTCTTTAGGTAGGGAAATTTTTCTTCTATGATTTTGTTAAATATATTTTCTGTGCCTTTGAGTTGAACTTCTCCTTCTTCTATACCTATTATTTGACCTTTTCATTGTGTCCCATATTTCCTGGATTTTTGGGTTAAGCTTTTGTGAGATTTAATGTTTTTTTTTTTAATTGATGAGTTTATTTCCTCTATTGTATCTTCAGCACTTGAGATTCTCTCTTCCATCTCTTGTATTCTGCTGTTCATGCTTGCATCTGTGGTTCCTTATCTTTTTCTCATAATTTCTGTTTCTATAACTCCTTCGGCTTGTGTTTTTTTTTTATTGTTTCTATTTCAGTTTTCAAGTTCTGAATAGTTTCTTGTTTTTGTTTGATTTCTTTTTCTTGGTTTTCTTTAAGTCAATTCCTGATATCTTTCAATTTTCTGTTTATCTTTTCTTCAATTTTTTAAGGGAATTTCTCATTTCATCTTTAAGAATTTCAAACATTCTTTTGAAGTTATTTTTTAGATCATTTTCTTCTGGTTCATCCATATTTGGTTGTTCAGGTCTTGTTGTTGTAGGGTCTTTAGGTTTTTCTGGTGTTGTGTTGCTCTTTGTGGTGTTACGTGTGATTTTACCTTTTTTACTCATCTTTTCCTCTAATAGTTGTGGTTGGGGCTGTCTGAGATTCTGTTGAATAATCTTCTAGGTGCCAGTGAATCCAAAGCTCAGATGGTTGTTCCTCATGGTACAGTCAGTGTCACAGTTCTAGTTACCCCATTGGTTACACTGTGTTCCTGGAGATAGCTCAGCACTCCTGTGCTTTGCTGTGCTCCCTTGGAGTTTGCTGTCTCAGGCCTACTTTGGCCTTGGTTGCCAGTTTTGCCCTGTTTCTGTAAATCCTCATCTGGATCCCCTCCAGCAGAAGTCCCTGGCTTGGAGTTGAACCTGTTGTGGTGGAGATGGCTGACTCTGGATCTGGTCACTGCCTCAATCCTGATCTGCCAGTGTCCTGGGACTGGGTTGGTTTCTGGGACTGGATTTGCTCCTGGTGGAGCTATTTGCTCTCTGTCCTAGGTTCTGTTCCATTCCCATTCTGGTAGAGATCGCTAACTCTGGGTCAGATCGCTGGCTCAATCCAGAGATTGACGACACTAATGCGTCAGTGTCCCAGGACTGGGTTGGTTTCTGGGACTGGATTTGCTCCTGGCTTCTTCTCCCGATTCCTCAGGCCCTTTCTGTCCCCAGGTAGCTTCTTCTGAGCCACTCCTGTGGAATTTGTTACCCCAGGTGGAGTTCCTTGCCTTGGGGCAAATGTGGCCTAAGTTACTGGCTTTTTTTTTTTTTTACCTGTATCTGTAAATCCCGGTCTGGATTCCCTACTGCAGAAGTGCCTGGGTTGGAGTTGGACCT